TACAACATCTGATGTATCTAGGTTCAACTGGGGTGAATTTGGTTTATATTAGATTTTAAGCTTTGGGTTGGGTTGTGCTTATTTATCTATAACTATAAAGATTTTATATTTCTCTAGTTCAAGTTAGTTTGAGATAATAAAATACATCTCAAAAGGAGCTTAGGAGAAATAGCTTAGGCTATTTCTACAAACAAATTTCTCTGGTTATTAGTACCTAATAACCTGGGGTGCGTGGAAGTGCGTTCCCTGGTGGAATGCAGACTGGTCGGGCTGTTTTACAACTTGGAAGAAATACTGTCACCATAGGATGCCTGTTTCTTTTATTTTGTTTCGGAAGGAGAGTGCAGTGGCCCATAGGGTCATACCTACGACTAAACGTGAGTGTTTGGAGATTTTTCGTTTCCACCACTAGGTCTGACACTCCTCTTGACCCTGATCTGGAAGAAAATCTTCAAAATAACGATTTAAGTTTGTTCCAGATGTTTGTTCCAGCCAGTCCTTCACCTCTGTGGTTCTATTGTGGCGAATCCCGTGTCGGTCACTACCAAACTGGGTTCACACTTTACAACTGTTAGCTCCGGTTTTCATCTCCCTCCTTTCCTTACTCGTAAGCCCCTTCTTGAATCTTCTCCCTTAGATTTGTGCACTTCTCTTTGGCTTCCCTATAATGATGCTTTTTCTCTCTCCCAGAACTTCAGTCTGCCCTGGCCCTCTGCGGTTCTACGTCAGCGGGCTCGAATGATATTCATTATGAATATCTAATATTCATATTCATAGGGAAGATAAGCTTCGCCATCTCCCTCCATGCACGTTTCAGTATTTACGAGTTGCATCTGCAAACTCTTTGAGCGTATAGTCAATCTCCATCTGATGTTCTTGGAACACTATCACTTCTTCCCTTCTCAATTTGGCTTTTGCAAGTGTCGCAGCACGGCTGATGTCCTCGTGAACTTGGAGATCCATATTTAAACTGCCTTTTGTGCAAAGACCTCCATTGTTGCTGTCCTTTTTGACCTGGAAAAGCTGTATGACACCACCTGGAGATACCATATTCCGTCCCCATTACATTCTTTTGGCCTTCGTAGTAATCTCCCTCTCTTCCTCCAGAGCTTTATCTCTTGCAGTTCCTTTCCAGTGCGGCTTGATACCGCCCTCACTGCCTCTTTTCGGCAATAGGAAGCTGTGCCCCAAGGTAGTGTTCTGAGCAATACTTTTTTCTTGGTTGCCCTCAATGGTCATTTTTCCTCCCTTCCCTCTGACATTTTCTCTGCTCTATATGTTGACGATCTTACCCTCTGCTGTTAAGGTGATGACTCGCCTTTCCTCCAACGGCGGCTTCAATTTGCGATTGATGCCATATCGTCCTGGGTCACCAATCGTGGCTTCACATTCTCAACAGCTAAGACTTGTGCTGTGACCTTTACTCGAAAGCAGGTCATTCAACCCCCCGTCACTTTATTGTAATCCTCTTTTATATAAGGTTTCAGCTTCTGGGGTTAATCTTTGACACTCGCTTGTTCTGGTCACCCCAAATCTCTTACCTGAATGCTTTAAGGCCCTTAACTTACTTAAGATCTTGTCCCATACCTCCTGGGGAGCTGATAGGCGCACGCTCCTCTCTTTACATTCCTCTCTCGTGCTGTCTAAACTCGATTATGGCTGTCCTGTTTAATTATCTGCCTCCACCCTTAGTCTTGATGCTCTTCACCATACTGGGCTCCACCTCAGCTCTGGTGCCTTTCCTTCGACTCTTACCCAGAGCTTCTATGTGGAAACTGGCATCCTATCTCTACAGGATCGCCGTGATTGCCTGTTTCTCCTCGTGTTGTTCCGTTGTTGCCCACGTGGAGGGTCCCTCTTTTTTGTAGAACCTTAACCCACATGACTATGGCTTTTATCTCTTCTACAGTTCTGAAATCCCTTTTCCTCGCTCACTTTTCTTCATACTCTAACTCCGTCTAAACAGATGGGTCAGTCTGCTGGCGGTGTAGGCTACTCCATTGAGTTTCCTGACTGCACCTTTGTGTGTCGCCTGCCTCTGGGGACAAGCATTTTCACAGCAGAACTTTATGCAATTTTGTTTGCTCATCGTCAACTGCTTTCTCACCGTAATTCTTCTTTTGTTGTTGCCTTCATGGTGTGGAGTCCTTTAATCCTGTCCATCCTGTGGTCATCGGTATTCAATATTGACTGTTTCTTTCTACAACAGATTAAATAAAGGCAGTCTAGTTTTGCTGGGTTCCCAATCATATTGGTGTTTTCTTAAATAAGAAACACGCAAAGGTGTTTATTTCGGCTTCTACCCAGTTACCCAGTTATTCATTCCTCGATTTGTGCCCGTTGGCAGGATTGCTAGTCTTCTGTTACTGGTAACAAGCTGGGTGCTCTTAAGGGTAGTGTCTCCCCCCCCCCCCCCTCCCCACGTCTTTCCAACTACCACCGTAATTGGTGGTGAAAAACTGCTCTGGCGAGGTTACGTTTTGGCCATGCCCATTTAACTCATGGGCACTTGTGTAGCTCCGCCCTGCTCCTTATTATCCCAATTGCATTGTCCCCTCTTACGGTAGTGCATATCCTTGTCGAATGTCCTGGCTTCCAGGATCTCTCTCTCTTAACTTAGTGTGTTGTGTTGCGATTAGCTGCTTGGCAAGCTATGTGTAGCTTCTTGGATGCTTCAGAGTTGTGTTTGTGTGGGAGGGGTAGGGGGCAGGTCAGAGTGAAAATGTTCAATGGGAGTATAGAATGTAGGACACTGTAATCATTTGGTTAGTTGTGGCATAGGTTTTGGAAAATGCTTTAAAGTATTTTAAACTTGTTAATTATTTTTCTATGCAAGCAGATTATTATTCTACATATTTTTAATTATAAACGCTGCAGATTATTTTTGAGAAGTGTAAACCACAGCTGTTTCTGTTGTATTTTTAACAAAGTAATGGCTGAGATTGAGGCTGAAGTTTGTAATGTTTGCTTCTGTTTAATATAACAGGTTTGATGCCGTCCAGTAGTATAATTTGTAGTACATGACAGTACTATGTAGGTAGTACATGCATAGGTAAAAAAGTACAGTACTATTGTTTCAACTTGCTAAAAGATTAAGGAAATTTTCAAAAGTAATCCTAATTGGTTATCATATTGGCACATAAAGAGTATTGCCTCCCAATTTCATTTCTTGTCATTTAATAGTTGTCACCTTAAAAGATACAGATGGAATATGTTTTCTAGAAAAAATAGTTGACTTTTTTTTTTTTTTTTTTTTTAGTTTGACATTCCATAATATTATGAATATAACAATTATTTTTTCAGATTCCTGACGAGAGCCTAAAACTCGTGGTATGTTTATACAGGCATGAGTTGGGTGCTTCCTAAAGAAGCAAGGAAGGCTGTCTTCCCAAATTAGTTAAATATGTGGAATATACTAGAAAAAAGTCCTGTTTACTTATACTGTACACTATACATAGAATTTTGTATTAAATTCTGATTAGTGATATTAGTTCCTCGTTCAAAAATAAGGGATCAAGAGTTAGCCCTTATTTTCTTCTAGAATTTAAGGGACTATAAAAAATAGGGGTGATATAAAATACCAAAAATGGTCTCAGACTTAATATTTTGTATACAAATTTTTTGAACATTGCCATATTTTCAAAGTTACTGCATTCTAATTTAAAACTTTGAATGTACATATAATAACAATGTTTACACACAGAAATCACAATAGCGTGATGCATCAAATGAACAAATCCACAAGGGCCGTGACGAGGGTTCGAATCTACGTCCCAGAGCATCCCAGACGCCGCCTTAATCGACTGAGCTACGATTAACCTATCAGACGTAGGTTCAAACCCTCGTCACGGCCCTTATGGATTTGTTCATAACAATGTTTATCTTTTTATTATGTAATAATAACCAGAGACATATAAAATCTTTGTAATAATATTTATTAGCAGAACCCAGTTCTCGTAAATTTCTAGAGTGGGAAGAACGCACCAGTTAAAGTGAGCTATCATCTAAGGGCTACAGGATGCAATATGCAGTATACTGTATATACAATGTAATTTTTTTGTAATGATGTCAACTGTCCTGGTTGACAACATGACAATTTGCTAAGAATTTCATAAAATATGCAATATTTGAACAAGATTAGTATACACCACGTGCATTAAAAATAATTTTAACTTTCAGTTAATTTTTTTTATTGTAGTGTACATCGGATTATGCTGTACACATTGGTGCTGTGGTGCATAAATACTAGTAGTAGTATTGTTTGGAGTAGTTTTGTAGGCATGGTAATGACATTTTGGGTACCTGCAGAATTGAAATATAAACCTACTCATTTGATGATCACCCCTGAGCTGTGTTTGTCATTTAATTCTACAGCACTTTGGCTTAAGTAGGGTAAATTTATTCATGTTGACCAGACCACACACTAGAAAGTGAAGGGACGACGACGTTTTGGTCCGTCCTGGACTGAAATGTCGTCGTCCCTGCACTTTCTAGTGTGTGGTCTGATCAACATACTTCAGCCACGTTATTGTGACTCATCGCCTGCGTAAATTTATGCATTTTCCCTCAAATATTTTTATTTTGTTATGGACAAAGCTATACAAAAGTTTTGTATAGCTTTGCAAGTTATTAATTCGAGTTCTTTAACATGGATATTCTAGGTTTACAGGTTCCTTGTCATCTTAACCCTTAGCTTCCTGAATTTGATAAATGCTATTCTGCTCTCTGAAATTAGTAAACTGTTTGAAAAACAAATATTTAATTCTGTCCCTTTGATTTGTTTGAGATTATTAGTCTGAATTTGCAGATATTTTATATGCTGTCATCATTTATTCATTCACATGTGAATTTATACTTTTGCAATGTCAAGGTTAATAATGAGTAGTATGAGCTTGTTAAAGGTTGCAAAAGTGTAGGTAGCACCTTGCCAGCCTGGAGTATTGCTGGTATATGGGCTGGTAATAGGGGTGTCTGATGTGCTGATGTGGTTGGTTCCACAGGTGACAGCAACATGGCACACTCAGAGCAGAACAGGACGTTGTACGTGGGCAACCTGGACAGCACAGTCACCGAGGACCTCATCATGATGCTGTTTGGCCAGCTGGGTGAGGTTCGCAGCTGCAAGATGTTCCGCGAGCCCACCACAGACCCTTATTGCTTTGTTGAGTTTTGTGATCATATGACAGCTCTTAATGCCATCACTATGATGAATGACAAGATGCTTCAGAGTCGGAAAATGCGAGTGGATTGGGCGACTGGACAGGGTAATAAGAACAAATATACCAAAGTAGATACCAGTAGGCACCATCATGTATATGTTGGCGATCTTAGTCCTGAAATAGATGAACAGGCCCTCAGGGAGGCTTTTCAGGTATTTGGTGAAATTTCAGACTGCAAGGTAGTTAAGGACCCACAGAGTTTCAAGTCTCGAGGCTATGGATTTGTTGTGTTTGTGAAGAAGATGGATGCAGAAACAAGTATCAGTGCAATGAATGGCCAGTGGCTTGGCCGAAAGATGATCAAAACTCGTTGGGCTACTCGTAAACCTGCAAACACTCCTAATGAAAACAAACCCGAACAAAAGAAGCTGAATTATGAAGAAGTATACAACCAGACAACTCCCACCAACACAACTGTGTTTTGTGGAGGCTTGAAACAAGACATATCAGAAGAAATGTTACATAAGTCTTTCCAGCCCCATGGTCAGATTGAAAAAATTAAGATATTTAAAGAGAAGGGGTATGCTTTCATAAAATACACAAGCAAGGAGAGTGCATGTCAGGCAATTGTCGAGTTACACAATTCTAACTTAAATGGTCAAATTATAAGGTGCTCCTGGGGTAAAGATACGGGTGTTGACCAAGCCAACAATCCAGCCCAAGATGCCAATGGAGCCCAGCCTAGCATGCCCAGCTATCCTAATGGTGGAGGTTATCCCAGTCAGATGGGGCAGATGGGGTATTGGCAATACTATCCTCAGCAGATGCCCTACAACCAAATGCCCTATAACCAATATGCTTATGGCTACCAGCCCAACCCTGGCTACATGTGGATGGGTTGGGGCCAGCAAGGATGGGGCCAACCTGGCCAGCCAGGGCCTCCAGCACCCCAGCAGGGGCAACCCCAACAGTGAGCAACTTTGTGATTGACTTTAGGCAAACATGGCTGCTGGCACGCCACATCTGTTGGGGTTACATCCTCAGCTTGGGGGACAAGCCAGCATTGCTTCGTTTTCATCTTTGTAAGTGCAAAGACCTTCAGACCAATATAGACTGTAAATAAGTGAAATAATTACTAGAAATTTAAGTATAGGGCTCTACTTAATTATTCTCATGTCCATAAGCACTATTGTGTAGCATTAGAGGGAAAACAGTGAAGTGTTCCTTTTGTAAGAGAAAGTAATTTTGTAAAGTTTTATATCAGGAATACAGTGAATTGTATTTTATACTGTTTTCTGGGCTGACAGTGAATAGCTTTCATGGCTACTTTCTATTAAACTGTTGTAAATACTGTTATGATTACAATTTTCAGTTACTACTTAGAAACTTTATTTCAGTAGGTTTGTAGGATCTTTTGTATAGGCCATGAAGGTGAATTCATTATAAATATTTATGTAATAATATTTCAGTACTAGTGCAGAATTCAAAACACAATGAGCAGAATATAAGACATGTATGTGGAGTCCATGAATGAGTGAGTGTGATTTTGAGATGTCTGTGTATGGTAAATACCCAACTAATTATTTCTTGCACTGGCTCATAAGTATTAGTCTGTATAACCACATTCCAAAAGAAACTGGTTAATTGGGATTTTTTCCTATGACCCTTTTAGTTAGTGAAATGGATATTATGTTTTATGCCTAGCATGAAGACTTTTGTACACATTACCCATCCATGTACAGATATTCAGACCTGAAAATAAAGGAATGGTGTGAAAGTTAACTATCACGTTGTCATTACCTGCTTTTGCTTCTTTCCGACTAAACCAGTAATCTCTTTATGTTTCAGGCCTAAGCCAAGGAAGTTTTGATTCCACAAAATGTATGGTATACATAGGAGAAGCTTGCTAAGTAAACTGGCTGACGCGTTCCTCTCTTGTTGCAGGGGGTGCTGTGTTGCCTTGTTGTGCTATTTTAGTGCAACACTGCAGGTCAGTGGGTCACTCGTTTGTACTTACTACTTGTTCTGGTTTTGTCTGTTCACAGTAGTTCAACTGCACATTATGGAACCCAAAAGTCTCAGTGGTGCAGGAAAAAGACTTGCAGGTTCTATGCAGTTTGGGGTTTGTACCACTGAGATTGTCTAGAGGTTGGTGAGTGGGAGAGCCACCCAAGCCAGGCAGCCAATTCATAATTTCTTCTGTGTATTTTTTATATTCTATTTTTTTGCTGAGTGGTATCACTGCTTCAGGTAGAGTTCTACAGTGATTTATAGTACACTTTATGCTAGTGTACTATTTCATGGTCTCTTCTCTAATTGTTTAGTGGTGATTAAACACTGGCAATGGTAGAAAGGAGATACATAGCAGAAATATTGTGAAGAAGTATAGGGGGAGGCATGCTAAACCTGCACAAGTTCAGTGTAGTGTCAACCCCCTGTACTGATATGCATGTGGCTGGGTGGAACGAATACTCACCAACTAGCTAGATGGGGAAGGCTGCTCAGGTAAGCCTCACTACTGTTCCATCTCTTTGTTTTGTTTTGGAAGTACAAATGGGATCCTGCCCCTGCTTGGAGAGAGGTATGTTCAGTTGTGCCAGTTTACCCCACTTTAGTAGTTTGATTGAATAGGAAAAGATGAAATGATTTGAAAATGGATTCCCTCAATAGAAAAAAAAAGAGATGTTTTGGTTTGCTTTGGTATCCTGTAATTTGAATATAATTTTATTTTTAAAACTTGACCAAAAAAGTTAAGGGACAAGTAGGTGATACCTTACAATTTGCCCTAAAAATAAATAAACGCAATTGTGAAGAAGCATTTGAATATATGAATTAATATTTTACAGATATTGAGATGAAGATACCTGTAGTTGACATTGAAGTAAGTTATTAATTTTTCACCGAAAAATAGTCACACAAGCCATATCTGGGAGGCTTACACCTAAGCCCATCTGTGACTTGAGAAAAAACCTGGGGCACTTCCTTTTGGGACAGTCCTGAAACTGCAGCGAAACGTATAGTTGCACAACACCTTGTTTGCGACTGCTATTGGTCTTATTACTGGCGTAGTTATCCCTTTATTATTTACATGCTTCTGCTGTCCAGAATTTTAGGCTATTTTTTTTTTCCATGCTTGCCTTCTGTGAATATTAATCTAGGCAAGCATATGGTAGATAAGCTTGTTACTCCTCTTCTAACTTCATTTACTGTTCTTGATCCTGAAGCAATTTAATTCCCTTAACATTTTCTGAGCCTAAATTTAATTTAGCATCTACTGTATTTTATGGTTCATATTTTAGCTTTTTCTTCTTAGGCTTTTTTGTATTTTTTTCATATTTTTTTCACAGCTGTGCTTGATGAATTAATTTACTGTATCCTTGTAAAAAAAAAGACGCAACATGACCTTGGGTTTTCAGTATCTGGATATCTTGTACATTACTTCAGTTTTCATGCCACTCTTCCATCGTTCTAAATATTTATCACCATCTGTATCAAACTTAAACCTTTATGCTAAGTTCAAAATTTTTATCCTTGGTAGACCTCATTTTCTGTATACCAGTCTGTCACCTTGAATATGAAACTTCCTCTCCTGGCTATGTGCTAACTTTACAGTCTAAGCTTTAATATTTCTTGATAACTCCTACCAAATTCCTCAAATGTTTCCAGCTGCCTTTAGCTAATTCCTGCATTTATATACATGGCTACCCCTTCCCTGACTTCCATGCTAAATTGTACCTATTATCATTCCAGACTTTCTCGCCTTCCCTTCTGCCAAAATTCAACTTTTCGTTTCATTAGTCCTGCTGTAAGCTTTCTCTTAACAAAAACATGTTTACAAGAGAAGTAGCTGGTCTTGCCATTTTCCATTTTCTTCCCTCATGGTAGAATCTCAAGGTGTTTTTAGTTTTGTTTTTCAGTAATAAAAAAAAAAATCCCCAGGTAAAGTTTTACATAATTTATTGAAATACCCTTAATTTGGTACATCTAGTACAGTAATACTCTTTAAATAAAGCTTTTCTTTGAGGCTATTATACTTTTGAAACTGAAGAAACAGTTTTATGCCAGTAAGGACATTAAATGTCACTTGCCTGCAGATACCAAGCAGGTTTTAGCATCACTGAAATACACTTAAGTGTTTTTTTGGATATAATTGGAAGCAGATGGCTGAATAACAATATTAATCAAATCCTGGTTGCAACTCAGATGGAATATATATCTTAACTTTTAATACAAAACATTTTAGCGTACGCCACAAAACATCCCAAACAGTGAATCTGGGAGAAGTACAGTAAGTTCTTTTAAGTGTGATCTATTGAGAAGGGTGAAATTGAGGACCAGCGTGGCTGCATGAAGAAGAAGCTGTCATCAGAACCCACACTCCACAAAGGCAAGAATGTACTCTGTATAGTAAGTTATAGTGAAGGTGCTATTAGTAGTTTTTTTTCATCATTAGTTCAGGTTACCCTGAACTTTCTAGAACATGGTATCCATGGTGTCGAATAATTTGGATGCTTCTCTTATCAATTTTTATTTTTAAGATCCTTTGAAATTTTGAATATTTATCTAGATAAATTAAGTTTAGCTGCAGTGTTAGTACTCTCATAATTATCAACAAAACAAAGGAAATTGTTTTCAACTTTATAGTTCACTTGCTGGCGCTGTAAACGCGTACTGATCATGTAGTGTGGCCTATATTGTCTTCATTGTATCAGTTAAACATAACTACTGGAGCCTAGTAAGGTGACATTTTCTCTACTTCAGCTAGATGTGTACCCAACAAATTTGACTTGTTCTTTTATTTGCAACAAAATATATTGTAATAGCACCAATAATAGGTTCTTTTGTTGACCAGACTACACACTAGAAGGTGAAGGGACGACGACGTTTCAGTCCGTCCTGGACCATTTTCAAGTCGATTGTGAATGGTCCAGGACGGACCGAAACGTCATCGTCCCTTCACCTTCTAGTGTATGGTCTGGTCAACATACTTTAGCCACGTTATTGTGACTCATCGCCTGCAATAGGTTCTAGCATGGCATATAATGAAAATTGGGGTGATTGTTTGAACTCATGTTTTTTGAAGATGCTTTTTGAAGGTAGTGGTTATTGTCCTGGGGTAAAGTGAAGAATTACTTACTGGGAATTTATAAGGTTTTCAAAAATAGGAAGAATGGAGAGTTCGTGAATATTAAGCAGGCTTAGGTAGAGGATGAGGGGGGAAAGATGTGAAGTGGGTAAGATATTTTACCAAGTTATACAAATTACATGCTATTAAAAGTTCTGGTGTTAATTTGTTTATAAGAAGTCCATTTGCAGTGTTAGGTCTTTCTCAAATTGTTTCCATTGAGGACTCATTTGGTAACTATTTATGCTTAATATTTTGCGTTGCAAAATATTAGCAATTGTTAGTTTGCGCCATCAATATAGTTTCTTTTCATCAGGTTAAAAAAATTACAACTTAGAGGTATTTGAATCTAATACCATTACATTTGCTTTACATTTGTTTACATTTGCTACTTTTAAACATTGATACTGTAGCACGGCTCTAGCTATGTGTTCATGCATGGTTCAAATGTCAACAGAGCTGCCCTTCTAATCATATTTGCTCACCTTTTTTTTTCTCTAATTGCAAATCTCTTGTGCCTTATCAATTCAGATGTGCAGTATATGCATTATAAGACGTTATTTTTTCCAGTAATGTATAACTTGATCTATATTTTTACTTTTAAATTTACATAATAGGAGTGTTTGGCTTTTTATTAAGTTTGGCTTGAATTAAAATTTAGAGGCTGAATTATGAAAGCTTTCCACACTTTTAATTTAAAATTATTGTGCAGTTTTAACTAGTTAATTTAATATTGGCTGTTAAGTACACACACACAAACACCTGTGTGGATATAATTATGGAGGACTAGTGAAATTGTTGCAGATATGCTCAAGTAACTCAGTTTTGAGGTCAACCTAATCTCTGCACCTCTACCTGGCTTGCCATTTGTTGTTGCTCAGGCAGACTCCTTTGTATAGTCATGCATAGGCTCAATCATCCATCCTTCTGGATGTTAACGTGTTTATCCTTTACTCTGTCCGTTAGTATTTAACTTATTCTGTTGCGAGTTTTCACATGTTAAGCATGTATGGTACAGTCACTTGCTCATCACCTGTTAGCAACCACATTACCTGTTCTCTATTTGGTCTTTACATATCCTGGATAATTGTGTGTGGCCTTTGCTGTGAAAATTTGTTCCTGGCAAATGTAAAATATTGGGTGTAAAATACATGGAATTTGTAATATAAGAGTGCATGCTGTAGTTTTAAAAAGAGTACAGAATGCTGTTTCTGTAAGCTTTGTACTTGACTGAAATTAAATTGAAAAGATATGCTAATGTTTTTGGTATTTGCCTACCTATTCCTGCACTGAACACTCCTGATGCTGACCAACATTGGTGTAGTGGAAGCATAATTTAAGGTAAGGTACTGAAGTAAATATTTGTAAATTAATGTGTTTTCACGGAGAACTCATCATTAAAGTTTACAATTAGGGACTTGTCCTGTTAAGGTTGATTTTATTAAAGAAATATGTTTATAAATACACACAGAGATCACACTAACGTGATGCATCAAATTAACAAATCCACAATAAATAATGATTTATTTCCTCGTCACGGCCCTTGTGGATTTGTTCATTTGTTTATAAATAACTAATGAATAAACTAGTGATTTTGAAAGTCTCGAGCATTGTGTTAATCTTCAAGGGTAGTGATGTGATTTTAATTTGCTTAGCCTCCGGATATTTTACCAAATGTTATTGAAAGTGCAGTGGAGTCCTACTTCAGTGGAACCTTGTTTGCTAGAGTCCATGTGCAATACAAAAATTCGTGTGATTGTGTCTTCCTAAAAAAATCAGTGTGTTGTCGTTGATTTTTAAGTGATTTTGGAATGCAATGCATTCTGTTTTGCTGCAATGATATTTCATTGCTTCTGTCAGTTTGG